ATATATATACATACAGAAACAGCTATATATATAGATATACATACATACAGAAACAGCTATATATATATATATACATACAGAAACAGCTATATATATATATATATACATACAGAAACAGCTATATATATAGATATACATACATACAGAAACAGCTATATATATAGATATACATACAGAAACAGCTATATATATAGATATATATACATACAGAAACAGCTATATATATAGATATACATACATACAGAAACAGCTGTATATATAGATATACATACAGAAACAGCTATATAGATATACATACATACAGATCATTATTCATCATCTCAAATTCTTAAAGTAAAAAAGATTGAAAATATTCATGAGTTCAACTAAGCCTTGTTAGTAATGTAATACGATGTATCAAAAGTTGTGGGAAAATCATTAAGTGTAACTAAATACTAAAATTCCCCGCCCATCTGGCGTCCATATTGAAATATTCGAAACCTTCTACATAAGAATGTTATTGACTAGAAGGATTTTATTTGAACTAAATCCAAGACGATATCACTAAAATATTTTCATTAAAAAAATAAAGGAAGTAGCCTTAAAATGACCGGAAAGTTCAATTAATTTTGTTTTTGGTTGGTTGATTGGGAGAAAGAGAAGTAAATCTTATTACTGAACTTCAGAAGGTTGATTCAGTGCATATACTTATTATAACGAGAATAAAATAAGGAATCTCTAGAAACCTTCGAACTTACTAATGGATAGGCACTCGGTTTAATGTTATAGATCATATAATTTCTCAGTATTATACAACCAATATACATCAATTATATGATTTATATAGCTAGTATTTAGATCGTTAATGTCAACAGCTGACATTTCTCAGTATTATACAACCAATATACATCAATGTCAGCTGTTGACACTAACGATCTAAACACTAGCTATATAAATTCTGCCTCTTTCGATATAACGTTTGATGCTCTATAATTCAGTCTTTTCTTTATCGTACCTATAGTTTTTTTATTACTTGGAACTGTATATTTATTCCGAACGTATATCATAGTTATACCTACGCTTACTCTTTATATCATATGACATTAGTGAACGATTACCAATAAGAATGGCAATAAGAAATTACATTATTTTATGTGTGTTTGTCTGGAATAAGCAAGCTGAGGATTTACTTAAAGTTTGGGTACCATTTAACATGAATCAAAGTTTAGCATATTTATATAATAAACTTAGTATTATGAGCTATGTGTATACTTAAATAACTACTTTTAAAAATATGCTGAAAGTTAATACAAGTTACGCTAAAAGCTAATATAAGTTATGTTAAAGCTAGTACGTATTCAGTATATTTCTATATGAGACAAGAAACACATATAAAGAGTGGTATAATGTGCTACAAACGTTCGTTCTATTTGTGTTTAACTAAAACTATTTCAGTAATTTCAATAAACGCTGTTATAACCGTTAGCTAGCTTTCTCTACATTGAAAACTTCATCTTAGGCTCAAATGAAGCCTTCAAGTAGCTAGTCAAGTTAGGCCTAACTCTAGTAAGCCAATCGCACGCCGTGAGCGAGGAATGTGACGTGCTTCATGGCGGGGCTCCCACCGTCCCTTTCGTTGCGACGGTTTGTCAGTCATCGGACTGTCATCACTTCACAAGGCACCAGAGCTAAGCTCACATGCACAACGATTTGGCTCAAAACTGTTGACGTAAATACAGAAGATTTCTAAACCGTAAACTTACAGTACCTGCACACGATCCACAGAAATGTATCAAGTTTAAAACTTTCTCTCATCCACAGGTTGCTATGGTTACCACTCTGTACGTTTGAAGATCAGGAGCAGACTTCTTCCATCTGAAACTGTACAGGTCGGTGGCGAGAACGGATCCTCACTGCTTCAACTGGTTCACAACAGAAAAGTAATTTGGAGAAACCTTGGCAGTCGATCTATCACCAACTAATACTAAACAACTGGAGGGCCGGCTCTGAGCGCCATTGGTCGGTGCAGTCACGTGATTCATTTAACTCGCATATTTCTGTCAACTGCCCTTGATGATTTACCATCCATTTATTTTCTGATTTATCTCCAAGTGCGACAGCTAATTTGAGGCTCATCCTTAAAAATCGCTGGTCGCCGGATAGTACACAAGTTATGAATTCTAATGTTGTCTATCCTAGTGTGTGTCACAAGGGAGAGACAGGGGGATACGGCGCGCAACCGTACGGCTCCGACCTAGCCGCTCAGGTATACTACGGTCAGCCCGCAGAGCCTCTCTCTGGTACCGGCAACCATTATATTGGCGGCGGCTTAGTTAGCTCTTTTCCAGGACCAGATCCGCGTACTCCGCCATTGCATGGAGATACAAATGGACATTTACCTCATCCTATCATTAACGATACAAACGGACTCAGCTACACGAGTCTGGACCAACATGGTTATGGACAACAGAGTCGACTAAGCCACCCTCACTCCGGGGGGAGTCCCGGGATCCACCCAGCTTACAGTTCGACAGGAGACATGAGTCCGCGATGTCCAGCGGGTACATTTGGCTACAGGAACATGGATTATGGTCATTCGGGTCACGAGATGACCAATCACCATGGCATCCACCATCATGCAGATCATCCATCTATTAACTTGAGCGATGGCTGTGGGCCTCGACCAACGTCCACCGTCACCGGCCTACCGACCGCTACCGCTTACTCTTACTTTGACCCGCTGGCTCTTCCTCGAAGAAACGGATTTGGATACCAGGAGGGTTACGACTCGATCTTACGGGACAGCTGTCAGCCCAACGGCGCTTTTCAGGGCCACAATCTGTCTACTCAACATACAGCACCCGTTCCCACCTACAAATGGATGCAGGTCAAACGGAACGTGCCGAAACCAGGTGAGTCATCTCTATTGGTACTGTAGATGTAAAGTGTGTAAAAGCGAGCGAGATCATCTGAATCTCTGCCCAAAATTTGCACTTTCCCACGCACAATAGCTTCTCTCTCTCTCTCTCATACACACACACTATCCATATCGGTAGAGGCAATAAATCAGTAGTTCAGCACGGGAAGTAATCACTTTCGCTTTTCAGTGGCTCCCAAAAATAGCTACAACTATCCTCACCGTCGGCACAAACGGAGAATATCGAGTTAATTTTGCAGCCGCGGTCAGCTAGAGGTAGTCATTTTTTTAAACAAGCGGTCTCCCGCAATAGTTTCGTAGGTGTGAAACCCACAGGTAAAGTAAACTCCAGGATCTTTTCTTGAAACCCGACAATTCGTGTTTTCCCTACACTTTGGCCATCACGGGTGGTCGGCCATAAATCTTTAATTATTCCTTTACTCAAACAACTCTTCGTCATTTGTTGAATGGAACAAATATTTGTGTTCGTGGTGAAGTGAAAACACTCCGCCTGTTGAGACGCTGTATTTTCTAACGTTAACAATCTTTACATTTATTGATTGAACAAGTTCCAAATCACTTTCAATCATCTTATTTAAAGCACATTTTAACTCTAGCAAACTGAGCAAGATTACCATTTACCTTTTTTTTGTTTATTTCGTTTTTCTTTTCGAAATTCAGGCACCCAATCTGTGTTTCCTAACGGCTGATGCTCTCAATCTTTGGTTCATTAATGACACCAACTTATTTCTGATCACAGGAGCGAAGGTGGTAACGATGAGGTCGCCTTATCAACAGAGCCGCTGTTCGATTACCATAGACTGGAGATACACGTGATTAATTACCATAGTTAACATCTTGACGCATTACGTTTGGCCGGAATATTTCACTTACACTAATGAAGGTGATTGCGATTAATAGTCTGCCCCGACATTGTCATGGGGTTGAAGAAACGACCTTCTCACGATCAAGGACTGTTAACTTGACTTAAAAGGTTTCAACGAAACTGATATTACTCTGCCAGGCAAGGTTTTTTAGGCTTAAAGTTTTAACTAGATGCCGAGTTCCCAGATATAGATTTTCTGACTTCTATGCAGGCTGGATCAAATGCTTGATGTTCAAATAATTAATTATATCTTAATGAAGCATAAGAATGATTAATCTGAATTAACTTCTGGATTAGAAATACAGTTAATAGAAGCTCTAGTGTGAAATAAGGTTTCGTAATTTGTTGCACGTGTTTTGTACAAAATCGTATACATTAAGATAACGTGAAGGTTCTCCCCTCTCGGCCCCCAGTGGCACAGTGGTATGTCTGAGGACTTACAACGCTAGAATCCGGGTTTCGATACCCGTGGTGGGCAGAGCACAGATAGCCCATTGTGTAGCTTTGTGCTTAATTACAAACAAACCAATACAAAATCTCCCCTCTCCCGAAGTGCTACCTAAAGATAGGTGAATAGGTCATAAGTTAGGAAAGGTTGAAGTTAGTAGGTTGACATCAACCTAGTAAGATGATTAAACTAAAACACCAGGAAGTCACGTCGTATCATTCACAATCAAAAAGCTCATATATGTTTCATTGTTCGCTTGTTTAAGAATGTTCGTGCAAAGCTATCTATTTATAGCTGTCCCTAATTTTGAACTGATAAGCTAGTGGAAAGCCAACTAGACAACAGCATCAACTGTTTGGCTGCTCGTGTCTGATTGAATAATGGGATTTGACTGTCACTCTTATAGCACACTCACGACTGCCAATGTGCGGAACTCGTCTTAGCGACAATGAGACACAAACTATTAATCACGTGTCATTACTTTATCTTAAATAAAACTTTTTTTTGTGATATTATAACAGCATGAAAGTATGTGAATCCGAGAGTCCACGGTTCGTATCCCGACGTGGTAAAATCACGTTCCGCTCATTGGTTCCGTGGGTGCGTTGCAAGAATAACGGTCAGATTCCATTATTCACTTAATATCGAACAGGTGGTGTTGACTAGCTGCCTTCTCTCTAGTCTATCGATTAAAAATTAGAGACGGCCCTTTTGAAACTTTGCGCTAATATCCAAAAAAAAACAAACAAACATTTTATAATAATCAAATATCAGTTTACTTCCTTATGGTCGTACAATACATGATAGAAGAAATACAACAATTTCAGCTGAAGCAAACGTTTTACATCTTTCAGTCAAGCCTGTACAGAATAACTAAAGTATAAAAGTGGCAAACAACTCGAGAAGAGTAAAGTAGTCAGTGAGAAAAAGTCTGGATTCTATCCAAGTGCACGTATTATATATATGGGAATTCACCTAAAAAAATGGAGGGGAGGTTCAAGAAGCATAGTTCTCTTGAACCGAGAGAGCTATAATCATAGCTTTAATGAAGGCTACTGAGTTCATTGAGCTTTGTTACGTCTGAAATGAATGAAAAATTGATAGTATTACACACCCCCAGATAAAGGCCTAGCATAGAAATTTATTATAAATAGTCATACTTTTAATGATAAGTTATCGGACTCTTACCATAATTCTACGTCATAGATAGATATCGTTTAAATAATAAATTACTTTTACCTATACATTTTAGGGTTAGGTTTGGTTTGAATCTCACTCAAAGCTACACGAGGACTATCTGCGCTAGCCGTTCCTAATTTAACAGTGATAGACTACAGAGAAGGCAGCTAATCAACACCACTCACCGCCAACTCTTGGGCTACATTTTAGGGGCTTCAAGTTCGGGAAAAACTTCGTAGTAAATTACAACTTTTTGGATACATTCAAATTTTAAAGGATGTGCGACGTTCATTTTTACCATTTTTTTACCCTAGAAATTTTGCATTTTCTTTTATCGAGAATTTCTGTAAATTAAACATCATTTTATTTAGGCCCTTTTCTATTAAGGATTCTGAGAGCACTATCAAGAATACCTAATTTATTGCTAACGAATAAGAAAATCTCATTTTTATTCAAACAGTTTAACGATCAACACACTACTGGACCATTGAGATGTAGTATATATATATATATATATATATATAAGTTTGTTTATGAAACT